TATAGGAGACACCTTGGTTTTTGAACATAATAAACGAACTGTAATGTTTCCAGAATTATCGAAGCACCTGATATACACAACTGCGCTGTAAGTATTAAACGATGCATCGCTAAATCCGTGTATCTCGTATCGTTGATGCGATTCGGTTAAAATAAATCTTTTCAATTGAAATTGATTTATCAAATGTAATTTGGACTTGAATCGATTCCAGTCCTCTACTAATTCTGTGGGAATCTGATCATCCCAATTCAGTTTTTGTTTCCATAACTTTTGTAATAATATTTTGACCAAAATAATACATGGACTGATAAGTCCTAACGGATCATAAACCTTTGCAATCTCTGACAAGATCTGCCTTTTTGTATTTATTGTTTTTTGTTGTTCTGGAAGATTGTAACATAAAATATCGAGTTTAGGAAGCCATTGTATTCCTAGTGTCTTTACAGGATCTGAATTTCCCAAGTTTAAGACGCTAAGTTCATCGGCATTGTTCTTTAAATGTTCTATAATGACAGGATCATTGGAAACCCATTTGCGTAAATTAAAACCACTTGACTGCAGTATATTAGAAAGGTTTCTGCAGGTTTTTTTCGCAACATCACAATCATCAAAACCTGTAATCAGATCATCGACATAAAAATCCTCATGAATTAATTTGGATTCTAATGGAAAATTATCTTGACAATCATAAGAAATTTGTCTTAAACATCTCATTGCGAGATATGGAGCACTCGAGGTACCGTATGTCACGGTATTTAAGGTCATAATTGAAAGAGGATGATGTACATCTTCTCTCCAAAATATTTTTTGTAAATGTCTATCATCTGGATGGACATCAATACACCGATACATCTTTTCGATGTCTGAAATAACTACATATTTATGAAACCGAAACCTTAACAATATTGCAAAAATATCATTTTGAATAGCTGGTCCTGCGTACTGAATAGAATTAAGAGACTTACCAGTTGTTGTATTAGCAGAACCATTGAAAACAACCCTTAATCGTGTACTAAGGCTTTCATTGCGGAGCACCCCGTGATGAGGTAGAAAATATGAACAAATGTTGTCATCGAAATATGTGTCAATTGACATATGGTTAAGTGCCTGGTATTCTTGCATAAATGAAACATAAAGATTCTTTAATTGAAGATCTTTTTCAAATTGTCTTTCAAGATTTAGAAATCTCCTCACAGCTAAGTCTTTTGAATCTCCTAACTGTTCTCTACTTTCTTTTAATGGAATCTTGACAATAAATTTACCAGTTGAATCTTTAGAATATGTATTCTTGAAATGTTCTTCACATATGTTGTCCTCTTGAGAAATTAACTTTGTATTTGAAACTTCTTCTATTGACCAACATTTTTCAAGATCCTTCTGTACTTGATCATTCTGTACAAAAAACATTGGACCTTATCGACATTTTGTGACCACAACCGGCAACTACATAACCAAAACATGTGTTTTGTAAGACAGGAAGATTTTTACCCAGAGAAATTTTTCCATTTCGAAGTATATCCCAGAATAAATCGGAACCAATAAGCATATCAAATGATTGTGATCTATGAAACGAAGGATCTGCCAAAGAAATGTTTTTAGGAATATTTAATTTAGAACCTTCAATGTTATAAATAGGTAAATTTTCTGTAATTTTAGGTAGGACAAAACATGTTAAATTGAAGATATCTGAATCATAAGTAGATCCAATAGAAACATTGCATTTATAACGTAGGGTGGAAGTGACACGATTGATCCCCACAATTGAAAGATTTGCATCTATTTGCTTTAGGTTAAGTTTTTTGCATAATTTTTCTGTTAGAAATGAAGTCTGGCTACCACTGTCAAGAACAGTTCTTACCTGATGAACTTGACCATTATCATCCCATATATTAATGATGGCAGTAGACAGTAAAACATATGTATTATTAGTTTTTGAGAAATTAGACACAGCTAGCTCTGTCGCGTTATTTGATTCATGACAATTGGTGCCATTATTTATTACTTGTAATGACTGAGCTTGAGCTGGTCGCATATTTGAATTTGTAATGTGATTAATTGAATAAGTTCCTTGATCCTGATAATGATGCAACAGGGTATTATGTTTACCTTTACAAACTTTACAGGACCCATGACTACAATATTTACTAAAATGTCCCTTGCATAGGCAATTTGTGCATAATTTCATACCTTTAATCCTTGTCCATCTTTGAGAAACACTTAATTGTAAAAATTGAGGACAATAGTAAATAAGATGATCACTTTGACATAAATGACATATTTTCTTTGCATTAGAAAGATTATTTGACACTAAAGATACATGTTTTTTAAATGGTTTTCTGTGTTGAGAACTTTGTTGAACTTGAGAGTTGACCTTTATTCCCCTCTCTTCAAGCGTTTCTAATTGATTTGCTTTGTTATCTAGAAATTTAAATAAATCATTGACTTCTGGTAAAGTATCTTTATCGTATTTTTGCTCCCATTCTTTTAAAGTAACTTTGTCTAATTTGTCTGAAATAATATGAATCAACATAGCACTAGATAATGGATTTTCATAAGACAAGTTTAAATTCTTTAAAACAAGCAAATGTTGATTAACTGTATCTACTAATTCTCTTACAGCACTAGCACTTTCTTGTGTGACTGATTTTAAATTAAATAATGATTTAATATGACTATTGACAAGCAAATGAGGATTGTCAAACCGTTTGCATAAAGCCTGCCATGCTAAAATATAATTTTGTTTAGAAATTCTAAATGCTTAACAATTTGTTGCACTTCTGTGCCTAAAGAAGTTCGTAAGTAATGAAATTTTTGAATGTCATTCAATGAAGAGTTTTGATGAACTAATAACTCAAATGTTTCTTTAAATTCTATCCATTTGCAAAACTCTCCATTAAAGGAAGGAATTGTGACTGGAGGAAGCTTGACAAATTCTACTTTATTTTCAAATAACTCGCTGTGAGTTGTATTATTTGTTTCAGAACTAATTATTACATTTAATTTGGATACCAAACATAAAGCACTTGCTGTGTAAGTTGCATGGTCGTTTGTAAAGTTATTTCGTTCAGCATATTCATTTTCTAATTGATCATCATCACATTCTTGATCAATGTCGGTTTGTAAATCATTAAACTCATCATATAATGAACCTAATTTTGCAGATCTTTGTTGTAAATCAAAAATGATTGTCTGTTCTATATGTTCACTATCATCATCTAGTTTTTGAATTTTGTTGAAAAATGAAATAAAACATGTCAATTGCTGTTTAATCGAACCTCGTTTACGTCTTAGTTTTTTAAGATTAGCCATTATGTAAAATAAATTGAAATAAAATCTACTGTGAGATTTCTAACATTAAATGCATAAATGAAAACATAAATTTCACACTTTCAAAGTAATAAAAAACTTGTTTTTACGTTAAAATGAACGTACATACATATATTGTAAAGCTTTTAATAAACACTTGCAATCATTAAATAAAAAAGCTTTAATAAAACATTGAAAAGAACCAAGTTTTTAATTTACTTATTAGTCCGTAATGAAAATAATAATAATTAATTTTTTGAATCCTACATAAATATTTTAAAATCGGATATGTTAAACTAATCGGCAACGCTGTACAAATATACTTGATATGAACTGAGATTTTAACCGTATAGAAAACTGGTTAAACAACAAATTTCGGCTACCGGTAGGGTTTTAGATAGGTAAAGAAACACGTTTTGTAAATTTATGAGGTTAGGAAATTGAATAATGAAATAGGACTCACTTTTTTTGCATCAAAATTATTGTAATCTTCTTTCCATCCGGCTCGAAGGACCAAACTTTATGTAGAAATAAATTGAATACGTTACACACCTTTTATTTAACTGAACTACAATTAAATTAACATTTGAAACATTAAATAAAATAAAACAAAATGATAATTTCGAAGTGGCTTGTTTGATGGTCACTAGCTAAGAGAGCGACTTGTTAAAGTTGACTGCGTATGGTTGGCTGGAATACCATGTTGCCACGTTGATTTAAGTTTTGTCCACACTCTATGCATGGTCATCTATCTATGATCTATAAGCTCGGAAAATAGTATATCATTACAAAATAACACCCGCGAAAACATACCTACCGTCATATTACCTTCATCAATTTTGGATTGGATTACCAACAGCTCAGAAACTCTGAAATAGACTAGAATATATTGTTCTATCAGCGTAACTAATAAACCAAGTATAAAATTTATACTGAGAATAAATCAGGTATAGGCAAAATCTTTACCAATAAACACGGAATAACTTAGATATAGGTTATACTTGATATCAGAATTTATTCCAAGATTATACCGACCCGCACCCTAGTTTAAGTCTGGTATAACGGTATAACCTATTTTATAAATGTGAAAGTCATCAGTGACAAGAATATATTATTTTTTGGATTATTTTGTGAGTAGCTATTTATTAAAAAATTGTGTTTAAGAGGTGTTGCAGCTGTCGAGGAAGTTGATAATTTAATTAACATGATGGAAAATACACGAAAAAGAAAAACTTTTATAGAAATAATAAATCCCTTTTCAAAACACTGATAGAGAATTTAGAATAAAATATCGGTTTTCTAAAGTCGGTGTAAGGTTTTTTGCAATTTTTAAATACTCAAACTCAACATATAAGCAAAGAATATAGTCTATATTCTTTGATATAAGATATTAAATAAAGATATATATGGTGTCTGTTGTCATTGTCAGTTTCAAAGAAAAATCAAAATTGACATATTTCACTCAATATTTCGTTGTTCCATGTATTTATGCAAAAGATTGCGACATTGCCAAACTATTATTTCGGAATAAAGTGGGAATACTTATAACTAACTTATACTGAGTTTATTTGTAACAAATTATTTTAGTATTATATTTACCTTATACTTAGGATAACTATTCTAAGTATAAATACGGAATAACCTTAGGATATGAGTGTTTTATTAGTAAGACAGTATATGTTTATTATTTTTAGGCGCTAGCGACGATGGGGCAAGTTGTGCCGTTATGTTAGAAATATTAAGAGTTCTTTCGAAATCGACGAAAATTTTGAGGCATAACATCATATTCTTATTTAATGGCGGAGAAGAAAATTTCATGCCTGCTTCGCACGGTTTTATCACCCAACATAAATGGGCAAAAGAGGTAAATAAATATAGTTTATTATATAATATACACGGTGTGCCACGACGAGCTTACACTATCTATATATTGGAAAATACTTACACGATATTTATGAAAGTAAGTTTATGGGCATTACAGTTATGATAAAATTAAAGAAATTATTTTGAGAGATATGCCACTTCCGGTTATATCGGAAGTGAACAGTAACTTTATTATTTTAAATGGAACACCCTATAACTTATTCCATTTTTAAATTCTGCATAATATTATAGATAAAACTTGTATAATGTACCACAGGTTAATACTTTATGTTTTTTTAAATTATTCATCTTTTTCAAAAATTTTGGCAGATAGAGACAAACTTTTCAAAATGAAATAATATACGGGGTGTTCTATTTAAAATAACAAAGTTGCTATTCACTTGCGGTTATACCATATCTGTCAAAATATTTTCTGTAAGGTTGTCATAACTTTTAATCCCCACAAACTAGCTTTTATAAACATCGTGTAAGTGGTTTCCGATATATAGATATTGTAAGCTCGTCATGGCATACCCTGTATATATTATAACTTGAAACCATCATCACATATGTTTTGCAATAAGAATAATTAATAATTCTCTTGCAGCTTCCCATTATTTTTAAATAAGTACACTAGATCCAGAAAATATAACGATTTGGTGTTTTCACATAGGCGGTCCGATAAGTACTTAGCGAGTTCAAGAGAAATTTACTATCGTGTAATATATTTTCGTAGACGGCTAGTCTCAAAATTTCAGCCGAATCGGATACGTAGTATTGATTTAAAAATTGGTTAATGAGTCTCAACGTGGTCGCATATAGCTTTTTGATGAGACACACCTCGAGGCCCTGAAAATGGCTACCACTGAGTATACCGTGACAAAAATTCACGATTTCGTATTAGCAGACCGCCGACTGAAGGTGCGCGAGACAGTAGGCAGCTCAAAATATCGCGTATGTCATATCCTGCACAAAAGTTTATGCATGATAAAGCTGCAGTGTTTGACTCAATTTAAACATAATCCGAAGAAGTTTCTAGGTCATGGATTGACTGGTACACACCAGAGATCAAATAACAGTCGAAACAGTGGACGGCACCCGACGAACGTGCTGTCGAAAGAAGAACGCAAAGACTGTCTTATCAGCGGAAAATGTGATGGCCACCTTTTTCTGAGATATACAAAGAGTGCTCTAAATCGACTACCTGGAGAAAGGCAAAACGGTAAAAGTCTCTACTACGCAGAATTATTGGGCCGATTCGACGATGAATTGCAGAAAAAACGGCAAAAAAGTGCCCATTTACCATGACAAATTGGTCTAATTGGGCTACGAATGTCCCTTCTTCTTCTTATAGTGCCGTGCACCTATAGTGCGTTGGCGAATTATCTTAAGGCTAGACGTCTGTCTTTTGCGGCATGCAAAAGATCGCCAGTGTTATTTATGCTTGTCCAGTTTTTTATGTTCCGTAGCCACGATATTTGTTTGCGACCTACTCCTCTCTTGCCTTCAATCTTTCCCTGGATGATTAGTTGAGGGATTGCATATTTTTTTCCTCTCAGAATATGGCAGAGATATCCAATTTTTCGTACTTTGATCAAATTGAGTAGTTCTCTCTCAGTATTTGCCTTTCTTAAGACTTCCTCGTTTCTCACCCTATCTGTCCATGGTATGCGGAACATTCTTCGCAACGTCCACATTTCGAAGGCTTCCGTATTAATGGAAGGTACTCTTAACGTCCATATTTCCATGCCGTATAACAATATGGACCATACATAGCATTTAACCATCCTGTAGCGGAGATTGAAGGAAAGATTGCGGTTACATAGTAGCCGTTTAAATTTGATAAAAGCTTGTCTTGCTTGTTCGGTACGGTATTTTATTTCTTGTTGAGGATCCCATTGGTCATTCATCATCATTCCCAAGTATTTAAATGTTTCCACTTGATCGATTGGAGCACCATCTACTTGCAGTTGTATTCTTATTTATTATTGCTCCATTATTATTATTGACCCATCCACCGTATTCTTCAGATTTAGCCCCGTGCGACTTCTTTTTTTTCTAAATTTAAAAAAAAGTACTTGCCGGGCAAAAATTTAATTCTAATAAGGAGGTTTTCGCCGCCACTGAAGCCACTGAATTTGTAAACCTTGCGAGAAAACGCATTTTTCAGACGGGTTAAAGAAGTTGGAGCATCGTTGGGTCAAGTGTCTCGAGCTAAAATCAGACTATGTTGAGAAATAAATTACCACTTTTCCAAAATTTTCGTTTTTCTTTTGCAGGCTAAGTACCTATCGGACTGCCCTAGTATGATGACATATTTGTGCCATGGTAAGCATGTACATAATTGTAACTAGTTCTTGGTGTTGATGATATTTATGGTTACAAGATATTTCTCTTTTTTACGTTTTATTTAAATTCATATTTTCATTAAAATTAATAAGGAATAACTTAGTTGATAACATAATTTCTATATTTAACCCTTAACTTATTACAAATGTACTTGTAAGTACTAAAATATGTAATATGTGCATATTGCTGATGCTTTGGCGAATTTACATTTATACAGAAATTATTTTAAAACTAATCTGACGCAACAGACCAAGAAAAAGGGAGAAACAAGAAAAAGGGGAAATTACAACTATTCTCTTGTTTTCCTAGGTGCGTGCCTTTATAAACTTGGAAGCATGCGGAGCTGGAGGAAGAGAAGTGTTATTCCAGGCTGGTCCCAATCATCCCTGGATCTTGGAAACTTACTCCGAGGAAGTGCCTTACCCCTATGCTTCTTCCTTAGCGCAAGAAATTTTCCAAAGTGGCATAATACCTGGAGATACTGATTACAGGATCTTCAGGGATTTTGGAAACCTCTCAGGTAATATATATCTAATGAATTATCCGTTATGTTATAAATTATGCTTCCTTACCAATTATACTAACTTTATATTGTAACTTTATCAATAATTGAAAGCGCTTCGAAATCTCCAAATGGAAGCTATGACGGGCTGGAAGTTTTTTGTGTATGATCAAAAAGAGTCAAGAATCTTCAAAAAGGCTATCATGAACTCTCGAAAATATTTTAAGAAGGCTGCCTAAATTACTCAGCAAAAGACTATAATGAACTTTCGTAAAGCCTTTCATAAAATCTAAAAAATCCTATCAAAAATTATCAAAAATCTTTCCTCAAACAAACTCTAAGGCTGTCATCATTTTCTACCAAAAATGTGGTCAAGTAATATATAAAATATCATGATCCCTCAAAAATATTGAATAAAACTTTGTAACTAGGAAGTAAAAAAATGACTGAACAAAGATAAAACTGACTGAGGGACTGAATATTTAAGAAAAATGTCCTACTGATACACTTAACTTTCCATGCTGTTCTATGTATGGCTGCTGGATGGTTAATGATGTTGACGATGTTGCTACAGGTCTCCTAGTTAATTAATACCTGGTGGAATGGAGAATACAAATACCTAGTTAATTACGCCATTGGTTTTGTATTCAATTGGATTTGGAATGGACCTGGTGGTGGATTAACTGTTATTTCATGGATCTGGAATCGAGCTTGGTGGAATGGATTGATTGCTATTCTATTTTTCCAAGTTTCGGTAACAGATGTAGATCTCAAAATACCTTACTGGAGTGATGTGTAGAGTGCTTTATGTAAATATATATTTCGTCATCAATTGTTTTATTTTCAGGTTTGGATTTCGCATGGTCAGCGAATGGATATGTCTACCACACTAAATTCGACTCGGTAGAATACGTCCCGCTTGGTTCTCTCCAGAGAACCGGTGACAACATCCTAGCCTTAGCCAAAGGCATGGCCCAGGGTCACCAACTCTCTGACGTTAAGAAATACCGAGCGGGAAATCTTGTATTCTTCGATTTCTTAGGAGCGTTTGTTATAAGATGGCCTATGCTAGTCGCTGACATAGTTAATATATCGTCTGTGATATTTTCGTTATATTCAATTTACGGCAACTTTAGAAGTGCTGAAGTTACCGACGGTAAGTTGATTTTCAATATTTTCTTTATCTTTCTTCGCAGGTCTTATTATAAGAGTTATCTTTATTAAGAACACATCATCTTGCATTATCATTGTACTGTTGATAAAAAATATCAAACGTTGTAAGCAATATGATGAAGGAATAAAGGGATATAAATTAAACACAGAGAGAGATTAGAAAGTAAACAGATAGGAGGTTACTAAAAGGTGTGAGAGTAATGGTGGAGGTGAACTTATGATGAGTGTAATAGAGAAAGAAGAGTTTTATAGAGAGAGGAGTTCTCTATAGAGAAGAGAGACACTAAAGGTGAAGAGTAAAGGTAAAGACTGATCAGTGGGTGATTGTACTCTAATAAGGAGAAAATAGGCATCTTAGAGAGCGACAGAGATTAATACCCATCTATATATATATATATATATATATATATATATATATATATATATATATATATATATATATATATATATACATATATACATATATATATATATATATATATATATATATATATATATATATATATATATATATATATATATATATATGAAACCTAGAGCTAAGATTAATATTATTACTAAAATTAATATCAAACTCACGTCTTCCGGGTTGAACCGCGTACAGTGTAGTAGTAGTAGTGACAGCGCAGTGATCAGTGAACAGGGTAGTAGTGTCTGGTGGCTCGGGAGACTGAGACCTCGGAAGGCATCAGAGAGGATGCCGAAAGCTCGGCAAAATGGATATCGACGCGGTTCAACCCGGAAGACTGGTGAGTTTGATAATAATTTTAGTAATAATATTAATCTTAGCTCTAAGTTATATTGTACTAACCGCGGAAATCTTTCCGAACATATATATATATATATATATATATATATATATATATATATATATATATATATATATATATATATATATATTATAATGAAAACAGAAATACAATAAATTAACTTAGAAATATATACAACCAGATATGCAGTGTTGATTAGTAGATTTATTTAGATAGTAATTGAAGACATAATTTATAAGTTATATATTAGATAATATTATGAAAAAATAATTATATGAGGGTATTTTTAAGAATTTAGCATAAGAATTAAATTTAAGAAGTTTTTTTTTATTTTATTTAATATTAGATATTTTTGAGTCAGCATATGCAACCAAACATACACTGTAGTGTCAAAGTCAAAAAGTTATTTATTTTTGGAATATTAATTTAGAATATAATTGTGGATGTAAAATAGTAAAAATATATTTAATATAAATGTTTAAGTTACATATAATAGTGTAGTTGTGATCTGGAGAGCCTAAAGTCAAGTAAAGTATAGATAGAAAACTCTAGAAATGTCAATGGGACTATTTGCATAACACATCACAGGCAGGAAATCATTCCAGATTGTTCATATAGAACAAATAGAAGGATTCGAACATGATTTATTGCTGGAATGTTCTGGAAACAATGAAAAACATATAAAAAGCCATGTAATTTGGAGAGAAGTCAGTTATGAGTCAGTTATGAGTTAGAGTTCAGTTCAGTTAAGTTCAGTTACCAGTTCAGTTATCAGTATGATCAGTTATCAGTTAGTAAAGTTATAATTCAAGAATTTAGTTACAAGAAGATTATTAATTGAGTTAAGTGAGTTAGTTAGAAGATATTATATCAGTTACAAGATTATTATTGAGGAGTTAGTTATAACAATTCAAGGATTATTGTCAGTTATTTATGAGGTTATGAAGAGATTATTCAATGCTAGAAGAAGGCATTAATTAAGTTAAATACAGTTGGAGATTAATTATTACTACAGTAATATAGTGACAGTTTTAAAGTTAATTCATTGAAATAAGCATTCAATAATACAACCACAAGATCCAGTATATTTCAAAGTACATTATATGGAAATTACAAGGAGTTAAATATATATATTTATATGGTGAGTGGAGGTAATTAAGAAGAAACATATTAAAATAGTTGGATAACCAAGGCTTAGTAAGAAGATATCGAGTGGTGATAATAACTTTAATTTTGGAAAAAACTTTAGGCGTTCAGTGAAAGAAGGTACCAAATTTTGTTAATAATTTATTAATTGTAAGAATTTCAAATTTTAGATAGATTGTTTTAAATTGATATTGCTTATATTAGATAGATAGGTTTGTTTCATAATAGTTATAATAAAGATAATTTAAAAAAGTACTTTCAAACTAATTCTTTGAGAACCGCGATAAAAACCCTATACTTACATATATATCATTTAAATTTACTCATTGCTCATACATACAACAACAATACATCATAACAATATATATATATATATATATATATATATATATATATATATATATACAAGGAATACACTGTCGATATAAACAAACGACACAGTTTATTAGGGTTGCAGTCAGAAAATTGGCCGGGATGTTAAAGAAACACTCTTTTGACTTTTTGTCTAGCTTTTGGAATTGTTTTATTCCTTTTTCAAGACACTGTAATAAGAAAAATATGTAAATATTTACAAAATATCACAATTCTTCAGTGTAACTTACTAGTCGTTGATATTATTTATAAAAGCATTGACACGCAACATTAATAATACACATATAAAATATAAAGGGCAAAATACATTCTAAAATTTTTAAAATTTAGGTAAGGATAGTAAAACTTAGTTTATGACATCTTTTACTGATGTGTTTTAACTCTGATACATAGAGAACAAAAGTAAAAACCCTATAATTAAAATGTAATTAGGTGTTCTTAATATTATATTTCTTTTCAAGAAATACTAGAGGCCCATCTTGGGTAATTTTACTTTTTAATTTTTAAACCTGCCTTAATGGTATGCAACATGTTATGCACACATGTGCACACATATGTACAGGTATATGTATAAATATATATATATATATATATATATATATATATATATATATATATATATATTATATATATATATATATATATATAACGGTCATATTTTTGTAGGTTTAAAGAGAAAAAAATACACCAAAAAGCTTGTAGGCTGTATGTTAGCAGTTTTTCTTTCTTGGATAATATCCGTGATAAGTACATTAGGAGTCGCCGCCCTAATCAATTGCTTAGGTCGTACCATGAGTTGGTACGCCCGCCCTTTATGGATTTTCTTTTTGTACGTGATACCCACTCTAGTCATTTCCATGGCAACAGTATTATATCATGCCAAAGTGTACAATAAGGTATGTATTAAAATATTTGTAATAAATAATTAATAATATAATAAATAAATTTTTTCGATGTTTAAAATAAACGGTTAGTCAAGCCTTCGATATAATTTTTAGCCACATCTTTAACGCTTTTCGTACTACCACAAGCATTATAAACGCCATTTGTTGTTGAAAAATGGTTTTTTCATGTTCTGAAGTGAATAGTAAATTTATTATTACATATATTTTCATAGGAAAATCTTATGATATCCAAAATGTACTTTACTGAAATTTGTATCTATATATTTTGTTTATCACAGAAAAGGTAACAAACATTTAATTTTATAAATTAATCTGTCAAGGTTATTCGTGCTTCATATCCTCTTTCTGTATTGCATTTAGAGTCATAGAAGCCAATTGAAAAAAAACCAAATATAAAAAAAAAACGGATGTGTCAGACCAGTGGAACTGCCGGTAGAAGTTATACTTCTATACACGCGTTCGCTGTTACAAATTTATATGGGAGTCAATCTGCACAATCATTACATATGTAATGCTATAGGTAAGAGAGAGCAGAATGAGAAACAGAATTGGGTATATAGGTATATGGTGCATCGTTTGCTGGATATAAACAAACATTTGACCTGTAATAGGAGTATAGTAATGAAGAATTTTTTACACATACTCTGCAGTAAAATTCATTGTTTATTTTGTTATTAATATAAAAATACAATACAATACACTGCAACATAATTCAATATAATAATACAATACAAATTAAATTGTAATATTCATAAGTATTTAAAAATGACAACATACATAACTTACTGATATGTTTAATTTATTATGATAATAATATTAATAAATATTAAATATATTTACAAAAGGAACATTTTTATTCTCGACAGAGAAAGAGAGAGAAAATGTATCTTCTGTCTCTCTCTTATCTATATCTTACATATGTAATAATTTTGCCGATTCATTCCCTTATAAATTTCCAACGTTGAACGCGCGTATAGAAGTATCACTCCAAAAAATACAATTTATTGACGTATAAAAAAACTGGAATATGGAATATACCGAAGCAAAAATTTATACAAATTAAAGTAACTCATTTTAAATGCAAAATGAATACGTGTTCCTACCTACTTAATGGCGTTATTTCTTATAAAAAAATATGATGATAAACAGTCAATTTTTGGCCTCTGAAAAAAACAATTTTTCTTAGAAAATTTGTTCCGAATATATCTGAATGAAAACCGCAATCGTTTGTCTCTTTCCACCAAAATCAGGATACAAATTTGAAATCACGTCAAATATGTAAAGGAAATATCTAACTTACAGTACAAATACAGTGTGTCAATTTTAAAACTTACAATGGGCTATATCTAGAGACTGAATAGTATGCTCTAAAAATGGTTAAAATATGCATGCAACATGCACTTAAAAAGTAACCAAATATGCCTTTATTATATGCAATATGCATTTATATATGCACTTAAAAAATATATTTTTTAATTTTTTGGGCTTGAGATTTGGTGAGAAATAAAATTATAGTATAACTTAGAGAGTGTTTATTTATTACTACATTTAATACAAAAATATAAATGAAAATTCATAAGAAAATGTCCTCGTTCTTGCTGTTACAGTATATAATCATAAAATGTTCAATATTTTCAAGAGTAATGTTATACCTTCTATCAGTTAATATGTGTTTATATGAGGAAAACGATCTTCCAACATCACACGATGTAATTGGCGCAAATCTAAAATTTAAAACTAGCGAGGGATCCATATTAATAACTTCGGGAAAGCTTTCATTGATTATGTTATTTATTGATCGCAATAAAGAAAAGCCTTCATTCCGGTTTAAAACTTCACTAAATTTATCTTTAATTATTTTTCCAATTGTCCCAGAAAGGTTTACTATACTTTCTTTGACAGAATGAACAATGCAAATACTATCATTTAAAGATAATTTTTGACTCTCTAGTTTTGTAATAGAGTTTGAAATTATGTCAAAATTTGCTTTTATATAGGACAGTTCATTCTGAACAGAATTCTCACTAAAAATGTTTTGACATTTCTGAACAGCAATACAATAAGAAGGATCAAAATTTGATATAACATGTTTGATATCAATATAATTATTTGCAAGAAATATGGCACTATTCAACCACGTCCCCCATCTAGTCAACACTGGTTCCGATGGCAAAGGGATATCGTGAAGCATCTCCCTATATACTTCTACTCGCAATGGTGCTTTTAAAAATACTTTCTTTACATTGTTGTAAAGGTAAAAAAAAGGATGCCTCATTCATTACTGAATGAAACATCCCAAATTGAGGTCTTTGGAAATTTTGCAATAGAGCTTACTGCATCAACGTCAAGTATCTACAATGACAGGACTTTTACATGATTTCGTTAGAAAGGTGTTGAAATTACAAAAGTTTCACCCGTACAAAACACAAATTCTTCAAGAACTAGGCGATGATGATCCAGACCGACGAATTGAGTTTTGTGAACTCATGTCTGAAAGAATTCGCGTGAACCGAGAATGTTAAAAAATATTTGTTTCACTGATGAATGTACTTTTATTCTGAATGGTAAATAAACAACACTGTCGGTATTGTAGTGATGCGAACCCGCATCGATTCAGAGAAGGTAACACTAAATATCCTAAAAACTGAATGTTTGGACAGGAATACATTAGGCCATGCTATAATTGGCTCCTGCTATACGCAAGTATGTCGCACTATTACTAGAACATTTGCCAAAGGTCGTGCAGAATTTGAACATGGGCTGTATTATTGTTTACAAAACAACGGAACCCATTTTGAACATTTACTTAATTAACATTTTTAATAAATTTGTAGTTCAACAAAAACCTCATTAAATTTCCCATTTCAGCTAAAGTTTCACAATTAGTGCTTCACCCTGTATAATTAATATTTATACCATTGTATTGTATTTTTTATAATATTTTCAATTATGTATCAAAAATAGGGGTTTGCAATTTAAACTTTTTTGGTTGTGGTGGGTGGAGCCTAGGGGGTTGATGGGGATGAGTTCTCTTTCATGTCATTTTAGTTCCCTTTACTATCCTAGAAACGGTTTCAAACATTATTCCATATCAGCTTTTGTTCGTGAGATATAGCCACTTGTAAGTTTTAAAATTAACACACTGTATATCCAATTTAGCTATTTTCAATGTTATCCAGGACACGTACCTCCACAGACTTTTCATATCCTATCTAAATTGAAAACCAGAACTCTCTCTTCGTAATCCGGTACTCCACAAAATGTTTGCGTAATTATAAAGTTAATCTTAACAAATCTCTTCTAAGAAGTTATGGGAAAGACATTACGTTGTTTATTTTACAATCAGCCTAAAAAATTCTAATCTGTTCGAAAACTTCTATCGTCTTCTAACCGAAGCGTAGACCAAAAATACAATTATTAATCTTCCTAGAAACCGCCCAGTCTAAATATACAGTAAAACATTTAGGTTTTTTCTGTAAATTTTTGTATTAAATGCATTGAAAGATTCACAGCATTTTAGAAACATGTTATAAGATTTGGTTTTAAATTTATTTTAGGACATTGAGATGTCGCCTTGGACAGTGTTTCAATTATATTATGACGCATATCAGTTACTATGGACTCTAGTGCTATTGCTAGGTGTAGCAATTAGGTTGCGTTCCAGTTTTATAGCTCTATTATGGGTATTTTCAGCAACTTTAGGAAACATATTTAAGTCTTTGTTGTTTACTAGATGGAGAGGTAAGATTTAAAAGATTAAGATTTAAATGATCATAACGTCTTAAACAATATGAAAGGTACAGGAATAAAAGGAGCTCATCGACATTTTTTGAGTTTTACACCTTATTATGCTAAGTTGTTTCAAATTTTATGGCGAATCATCCAGTGCTTTTAAAAGTTCATAAACGAGGCTCATTCCGCTTATATTTCATAAAATTATAATCCCGTACAGAAATAAAAGGTCCTGACTCCGATACAAACTACACAGTAAATAAGGGGCACATTGCAGGCTAAAAAGGGATAGAAGGGGCTGTTTATGTGTATTCAGCGAAAAAACGCGCCCATTACCTGACCTGAGAAATTCGCCATACTTTCAGTAACAATTGAAGACACGAGTGGATGAAGGTGCTATGTAACATTTTTCTAAAAACGGTTTTTTTGTATGGATGAAGGTATTATGTACCTGTTTATCACGTGGCCACATTAGAATTCTAAGATTCGTAACAGAAGTCTAGGTTTTTTAAAGGATGAAGGAGTTATGTTACATTATTTTCCAGTGAATAATGGAAGAAGGTGTTATAGGCACAAAATACCTTCATCCACATTCATGTAATATTTTGTATACCTTCGTCATATGAATGATGGTGTTAAGTGACACACATAACCCCTTCATCCACTCACTGGCCATTTTGTTTTACTTGGTGATTTGGTATTGCGCGCACGTGTTCTGTCATTATTACAGTTTTTTGCAGTAATATCATAATATTAATGCTAGTTAACATTTATAATGAGTTCCAGAGGTAAACAAATGTTAAAACTAGTGCAGGAACAAATAAACTATGAACAAAATTTGCCAAATGATGAAAATGAATTCACAGCAAGTTCTAACCTCAACATTGAAATTTCAAATGTAACAGGTAAGTGCAATCCTGTTGTTATGAAATAATTAAGTTTTATTATATTTTGGGCAATAGGTATTTAGATCATAATATTTATATAGAAGTGTAAATGAGCTGGTTGAAATACATAACCCAACTATCATCTGTTATAAATATTTACACTTGATTGCTCCGGGGATTCCCCTATATTTTCAAAAGTAATTTTTAAACAATAATAATTAGGAAGAATTAAAATATAAGTATAAGTAAATAGCTGTTTTTATTTTCAGATTTGGAGGGGACCCATTCTTGTCAGACAGCAGTTGTGATGCTGAATACTTTATGAGTAATGAACGAAGCAGTTCTTCAGGAACTAGTGTCACGGAGGACGAAGAAAGAGCGGACCACAGTCATGTAAAAAACCTTGTTGGAGGTACATTCATTTCTGGAGACAAAGAAGGAAGCGGGATTATTAAAAAGCCTATAATTAATCCTTCTAACGGGTCTAACGAGGTTGACCAAGAAAATGAAAAACAAAGAAAGCAAAAGATTTTTTCAACGACAGCAAAAGTTTCCAAAAAACGAAAACGAGATCCAAATACGTGGAAGAAACGCAAAGCAGCTTTAGATAGAGCAAAAGGTGAAGAATATTTGTTTTACAAAAACATTCCCGTTCCAAGAAAGGAGCCACAAAAAGGTATTCTTTGTAGACAAGGCTGTAGATTTTCTTGTAGCACTAAATTTTCAGCAGATGACAGGAAGGCATTTTTGGATGAATTTCATAGACTTGATATTAATGCAAAAAATGCTTTACTATTTAAATCAATCATTAAAAAACCAGTGTTGAGGGAAAGAAAAGATGCTGTTCCTCCTCCACCTCCTCCAGATCGCAGAGGTAAGCACTCCAATAGGCCACACAAAATAGGCCAAGATGTTAGGGATTTTGTGATAGAGCACATAAATAAATTTCCTGTAGAAGAGTCGCACTATTCCAGAAATAGAAATCCTCATAAAAAATATCTTTCTCCCCTACTAAATGTGAGCAAAATGTATGAGTTCTATCTTGAGGAATGTAATCTGGCACAACGTCCTGGAAAATTTAGAATTAAAAAATGTTCATATTCCAACATTTTTTCGCGAGAGTTTAATTTATCATTTGGGTATCCGAAAAGTAATACGTGTAGTATCTGTGATGGAGGTGAATCTAACGATGGACATAAAGCACATCTGTAAACTACACAGCATCAACTAAAGCGCTCAAAGTTGACAAGGAAAAAGCAAAAGATTAAGACAACTTGGTCTATATTACAATCGATATGCAACAAACAATGCCACTGCCAAAAATAACAACGTCCAAAGCATTTTACCTTAGGCAAATGTGGTTTTATAATTTTGGGGTGCATATTACTACAAAAGGCCTAGAGAAAGCATGTTTTTGTACCTGGACCGAAGATCTTGCAAACAGAGAAAGTGCAGAAATATGCAGTTCTCTACTCAGATATATTGAAGTCGACCAAAGCATCACCAAAAAGGATTATCTGATCATCTGGTCCGATTCATGTGCGGGCCAGAACAAGAACTTCCACATGATTTGCCTTTATCAGTATCTTATTTTGAAGGGATACTTCCGTTGTATTGATCACAAGTTTCCTGAGGTTGGCCATACTTACTTAGATTGTGACAGAGACTTCGGAAGAATAGAGAAGGTTTTACGAAAACACGACACGGTATATGTACCAGATACGTACCGGGAAATAATTTCAAAGGCTAGCCGAAAAAATCAAGTCATCGACATGGCTCAACACTTTAGAAGGATTGCTGATCTACCGCAAAAACTTAATCTTACTAACAGAAAAAAGGACGAACTAAATGAAACAGTCAGATTTAGAGACGGTATTAAATGGATAAGAGTGGAAGAGTATGGTTCCTATTTATATAAAGAATCATATGACGAAACAGTTCCTTTTGGAAAAGTAAATATTCTTCAAAATAAGAATAGAACAGCAGCGCCAGAGAATATTGAAATCGAAAGAATTCGGGAGAAATATGGAACTATCTCTGAAGAAAAAAGAAAAAAACTAAAAGAACAGCTTAAGTTTGTAAAACCAGAATATCGATATTTCTATGAACCAATCTTAGAAAAAAAATAATGTATTACGTTATATTACTGTTATTACCTTATATTAAGCAATAACATCTTGTTAGCTGATTAGATAAGTTTTTCTTTAATACATGATTCTTCCATAAAACAGTAGTTGTTTTAATTTCTTTAGAATTATACAGTGGATGAAGGTGTTATGTACTGTTTTTTTTTCAAATTTTGGTAAGACACGTTTTTTTTTGTTGATATTTTTTTCCGTGAATAACATATTCCATATACTAGTAACGACATAGAAAAGTTTTTACCTAATAAAAGTGAATGTGAGAAAAGTTTACAATGAAAAACTTTAACCTTAATTTTCTCAAAATCTAAATTTTGTAACATAGCACCTTCATCCACTCGTGTCTTCAATTGTTCATTGTTGCGTCATACTTTACTCTTACGCGTTCTGTGAAGAGAGATTTTACGTTTTTGATGGCTGTGTTCTTTAGCTAGGATAGTGTTCGTAAGAATTAAAATGAGTAATGAAACTAGTATTGATAGTATGGGAGTGTGTGTAGAGCCAAAAACTAAGAAAAGAAAGCCACACGGACCGATGGCAGACGTTGTAAAAAAAAATCGCGAGTCATGAACCGGGACTACCATGTGAGTGCAAAAGAAAGTGTTTCAAGCAAATACCAGAAAAGCTCAACAAACTATACTGCAAAACTTCAATATCCTTGAATCTCATGATGTACAAAATAGCTATTTGAGTGGTTTGATCTCAGTTTTGTCAGTTCAAAGACCGTCGGAGAATGAAGATGCACGAAATTATGACGCTGTTTACAAGTATAGGGTGCTCGCTATGATAGTCTCAGGTGACAGAGGTTACCGTATGTAAGAAAGTTTTAATGTCGTTTCATGGTATAACTAAGAAGAAAATTGAATATTTAGTCAGTAGTCTGAAGAAAACAGGGATCGCCCGAAGTGATAAAAGAGGAAAACATGGAAACCACCACTGACTTGACGACGAAATTAAAAGTAAAGTACGCGGACACATCAACTCATTCAAGGGACGGACCAGCCATTATAGTCTTTACGACTCAACCAAGCTCTATCTACCAGAATAATTAAACGTAAAAAAAATGTACAGGACGTCACTAGAGGACAACAAAGACGTGAATCTTATAAAACACACCGGAGTATATTCTGCACAGATTTTATCACAAGTTTTGATTATCCACGCACAGATACTTGTAGTGTATGTGATGATTATCAAATTAAAGTTAAAGCATTAGACGTTGAAAAAAAAGGTACAAATCATCCGAATTGCTCAGCATCCCTTGATCGTGAGATTTACAAATTACGTGTAAAAAACAAAATACATAAACTAAAAGCAGGCAGTTTCTATGACAGAAAACGACAGCCTCGAATTAACAGTAGAAATAACGCAAATTTTTTAGAATCTATCTGCGTAGATTACGGAAAAAATCTTCCAGTACCTAATATTCAAACTAATGATGTCTACTATAAAAGGCAACTTTCTGAATACGTATTTATTATTCACGTACTGGTTACATCACAAAGTATCTTCTACATGTATCCAGAAATAGAGGGGAAGAAAGGTAGTGATGACGTTTGTTCTCTTGTTCACTACTTCGTGTATAATATTATGCGACGAAATACAAAACTTCCACGAGGAAACTAAGTTCCTGTAGCTGGCTGTATACCATATATCACAAAAAAATTTTGTTAAAATCCTTTATAAGAGGTATATAAAAATGCCTCAAACGGGTTATCACAAACACATTGCAAAACGTTTTCGGATTAAACAATCCATCATCAGTGCAAACGGTTGTACATGCTAGTAGCCACCAAAATATATGGGTAAAAACCCTTTAAATGTTATAAATTTGAAATTGTTTTACATTATTAGTATTTCTAATTTGTGATGGTTAAGTTACCGTTGGATAGGTAACATGGCGGCGTATGACTCTACATGACACATGATAACAACAACAGTTGTTATCAACAGGTCCTCATAGACACTTCGTCTCAGGACCATTTTACTCATGTAGAGTCATACGCCGCCATGTTACCTATCCAACGGTAACTTAACCATCACAAATTAGAAATACTAATAATGTAAAACAATTTCAAATTTATAACATTTAAAGGGTTTTTACCCATATATTTTGGTGGCTACTAGCATGTACAACCGTTTGCACTGATGATGGATTGTTTAATCCGAAAACGTTTTGCAATGTGTTTGTGATAGCCCGTTTGAGGCATTTTTATATACCTTTTATAAAGGATTTTAACAAAATTTTTTTGAAATACCAAACACCTAAGTATCTTTTGTGACTCTTGCAGTGGCCAAAACAAAAATTTTACAATGTTTCGCTTCCTTCATCATTTATTTCATGTAGAAAAAAAGTTGAAATTTGTAATGATGACATTTCCAGTAAGAGGGCGCTCATACTTAGAGTGCGATAAAAATATGGGACTTATCAAATCTGCAACTAGGACAGAGGTTCCGGACGATTGAATTGAGGTAGTTAAGTGTCGTCTTCGGTGTAATTAACAAATGGTGGAAAAGTCGACTGCAACTTGGTGCAAATTCCCATAGTTATTAATTTGTCTAACTATTGCGCAATATTGTGCAATTTTGTGAAGTTAGTCCGAAACGCTTTTATATGTGGCATTGTCTTGAAAAAGACAATGCCTGTATGTTTATTTGCTTGTAGAAATAAAACACAGGTTTCTAAGAAGAAAAAAACTCAGCTTCAGAGTCTTAGAAAAATTTGCAGAGTCCTTCAAGTGAGGAGCTCTAGGACTACCCGCTAAGGGTAAAACCGCACTCTCTCGAGATCCGAAAATGTCTCATATTTAAAGATATTTTAACTTTTATATGAAACTTTTTCATTTCTCATCCAATAAAATTTAATTAAAAGTTCCAGAAGGAAAGGCGATGCACATCGAGGTGCGTGATTGGTGGCACCTGATGACATAAGGATGCTCGTTAAACACCGACGCCATTTGAGGTAATTAATGTTGACCATTAATTTTTTCTAAGTTGGACATCCCATATATGCCAAGAAATCAACATTTCCATCACGACCGGTAAAGGAACTAAAAATTACTAATTCGAACACTAACATCTTATCTATCTTATGAAGATGTTTTGCCAATTTCTGCAGAAAAATATAAGGACCTGCAAGATTTAAATAAGTTCTGTTCACCGAATGCGGAAAAAGAATACCAAATTTGAAGAACAGCTATCCTGCAGCGTTGTAAACAAATATAATAAAAACAAAGCATTATCGAGCAGTGAGAAAAGGAAAATTACCAAAAAAAAAAAGAACTCACCAAAGTTTTTCATACTTAATCTCAGATGAAGACACTGACTCATCTGGGTTTTACACAAGCGGAAAGCTTCCAGCGAGGATTATAGTGATTCAGTTTATACGTCAAATAAATATGATAAAATTAAAGTTGCAAAAATAAGTAAGACAGAGCCACAGTATAGTGCTTTAAATCAGAGCCATGTGAAGAACTAAATGCAAGTTTTAGTTCCAGTGGATTACTGATTACACCGGAGTTAAAAGTATCAACAAAAAAACGTCGGCAGACCATTAATGCGAAAGCACAAGAAGTTACCAGAGATTTATTTAGTGCACAATCTTATAGCTCAGCAAAACCAAAACCGAATTTAAAAAAAGATTCATGGTACTGTTTCTTATGTGATGAAGATAGAGTGGCTGATATGCGCAAGTGTGTTTGTTGTAATAAGTATATTCACGAGGAATGTATAGGATTAACAAAAAACGACAAGAAAATATTTGTATGTTCTCGTAAATGTGCGATATATGTACTTAATGTATTGACAAGTTTTTGTTTTTAATATGAGTAAACGTTTATTTCACTAACTTTAAATTTATTCTTTAATTCTTAGATTTAAAATTTATTAGCCACGTCAATTTCCTTCAAAAATGAAACTGGCCTTATTAAGTTACCAGTTCCAAATATGGCCAAATATTCAAGATTTATTGAATGTTAAAATTTTATATTTCTTTATTTATTTATTAAGTATTTTATCGTAAAATTCGATAGCTTAAATGTTAGGCAATACATATACAAGACTTTTCCCCTCATATTTTTGCTGAATAAAATATTACAGACATTTAAACCTTAACGTGGCCTTAATTGGCGTCCTTACCTTACTCAAAACGAACAAAATGTCGATGAGCCCCTTTTATTCCTGTACCCTTCATATATATGTGACAAACATGAATCACCTTTTTATTTTAGGCTCAAAATGGCTCCTCCTCCACATCTCTGTATTCGGCCTTCCGTTCGTGCAATGCTTCTATCTTATCATCGGAGCCCTGTATCTGTTTATACCAATAACTGGTAGATCCGGATCAGGAAGTCACGCGGAATTCGCAATTGCGGTCCTAGTAACATCTATGTTCGCTAATTTATTCACTTTCGTAGTGCCATTGGGGATATTGGTGAGAGGTATCGAAAGGATCTTCAGTCTGTTGACCGGATTATTCCTGTTATCGTTGGCCTTATTGATACTTACGCCTTTAGGATTCCCGTACTCTGGAGAACCGGGGGCTTTAGCCCCGCAAAGGTTTATGATTGCGGTAAGTGTGAGAAATTCATTGATTTAGATGTACAGTAATGTGCAATAAAGACATATTGAATCGTTTTGTAGAACACCCACAGAACATTCCACGATGTAACAGGAAAAATCCAAAACGAGTCCACGGGCTATTGGATCGCCGATATGGACGTTAACAGTCCACATACGGTTGACCGACACGTTCGTGAAATGCAAAATGCAGAATTGGTTACCAAAGACTGCGAAAACTATTTGTATTGCGGACTACCGTACCTTGTACCTGTGCTAACGATGATATGGAAAACCCATTGGCTGCCTGGACCTCCACCTGTGCTTCTTAAACCCGTCAGTATGAATATTTTAAATAGAACAAAGACTGGCGTCGGCGAAAAAGTTACTATCAGAGTTGATGGTAAGTATTTCTTTAAGTATTTATTAAAGTCAGAGCTAGGTAGATAGATTTTTCTTTCATAGTTTATGCCATTGATTTTTAATTTAATTATCCTGTTGTATAATTGCCATGTATAGGGAAGAAGTGGGAGGTGTGGGACACTTTTTGACTAATATATTTTTTTAAAATTATGTATTAACTCATCGTGAAATAATAATGCTAGGACATGTTAGATAGCCCTTTGGCCTACTCAATTTTTAAAAAATGGCTGATATAGGTATTCTTTAAAATGAAGTATAATGGATAGTGTGAGGAGCTGCAAATGTTCCATACCACCCATACCACTGGGAGGAGTGGGACACTAGTAGGGAGGTCCGGGACAGGATGTAATAAATGTTTTTTTTTCAGCACAATAGAAAATTTTCTTTATTGTACATTGTATTTTGACAATTTAACCGGAAATACAAACAATGATTTTACGCTCTCTGTACCTCCAGATGATATTGGTGCAGGCAATTTAAGCAATATATCCTATTTCTCAATAACGCTATTGTCCCCCACATTCGGAAAATAAAATTTCCAGATTCCTCCTTTTTTACGCATGAATTGAACTTCAACTTCATCTAATGAATCACACTTCAATACTCTCCCAACATAGTAAACAAGAGACTTTTTAGTACAAAATTTAACAAGCACAAAATCGTCAGTCTTAAGATTCACAGACCTATTATTCCAATCTCTTTCTTCCATTTCATTCTCCTCAGAACTCAGAGATATTTCTAGATCATCATCTGTATCTTAATATGGAATTTGTACTTCCTCGGACGAAGACTCAGAATCTTCACAAACTTTCTTCTTATTAGATATATTGCGGATGGTTACAGATAATTTATCAGACTTCTTCCTTTCTCTCTCGAGAGCTAATCTTTCGGCCTCTGCTTTCTCTGGTGTACTAGTTAAAATACGACTTCTGCCTCTCTTCCTTCCTCTTCGAGCTTCTTTGCGTTGTGCAGCTTTAGGAAATGGTCGGATTTGCTCAGGTGTAAATACCTGATTTTTGCACTCCAGAACTTATAATGCCAGATTTTTATTGGCATTATAAGTTCTGGAGTGCCGTGTAACGAGTCCGTTACTTAAATACCCACTTACTGTCCTGTCACTGGAATCCTTTAACTTAATTACAAATTAAATTCATTTGGAAATATTCTTAAACCAAACATTTGAATAACTTCGGTAAATTTTATTTTTAAAAGTTGGCAATAAATCACGCCCTCTGTCTACGGCTCTGATCTTCGTAACAGCTTTAGCGCCATCAGACCGGACTTGATCTTGGAATCGTGAAGTGAGCAGACGTGTTCAGAGGCGGCTGTGGGGGCCATCTTTATTCCATGAGTTTGGTTTAATTTTTTTTGTATTTTGTGGAAAAGCAGTTGTGTTAGAAGAAGCCTTTTTGTTATTTTGTTGTTTTGGGAAAATACTTTAAGTTTGGACCACAGCCGCCTAGTTACGGATTCCAGGACAAGTCGGGGGGGAAGAAAAACTTTTAATTTAATTTTATGGGGATTTAAACACCAGGGGAAGAATTCTATGGTTTTAGTTTAACGTACCTTTTATTGGAGTCCAGTTTTGGACCTCTACCCACTTGCATCTAGTTCTTCATCCTGACCACCTCCCAGGTCCACCGAGAAGAACCGGCAGGAAGAACTAGTTTTATTTTTTGTTGTTTTCATTTAAATATTTATAATAATACCTTTTAACTTCCTCTTCAAGGCTTTAACTTTTTATTAATAATAATCACCTTCATTTTTTTAAATAAGAGTCATTGTAAATTTATTAAAACATTTATTATTCATCAAGGGTTGAGATTGTAACTCCCCTGGAATCTCTCGTTACCAGGTTATAGTGTGCACACATATCCGGAGAGGTTTTATTTCATTTATTCGATAATTGTAACATTTATATTATTATATATTTCATTTTATATTATATTTATATAACTATTGCATAACCTTAGTCAACATTTCACATAAATAGGTACATTTGGGAAAGGGGAAACTGTTTTATCATTGTATTCAGGGATTTTTACTGTAAATATAGATTAGTTAATTGTACATAAAATAGGTATTTATTAAAGTTGGGTTAAAACAATTTAAGATTTCACTTGGTACCTATCCTTTAATATTTCAGCAATACAAGATATCTCGGAAGAAACCATTTAACTTCCTGGCGCCCAAACATTCAGTAGAGCAACTTCATCTTTCATCTGTTTATTTCTTGGTAGATTTCTTGTCTTTAGTTCTTATATCTTACGGTCACTGTAGGGCATGCAAATTGGCCTAATCCCTCTTGAGTGTCAAGTGGTCATTCTCCTGCATAGTCGCTAGCCAACATTATTTTTAATATATTTTAAATATTCATATTTACCCTTTATTTATTTCTTTTACATAATTTATTTCTATATAATCCCTTCCATCTTCTGTTATTTCCGATATTAGTCTGTTGGTGTATCAAGGTACATTTTAGAGTTTACCCTATTGCTACACTGCACATTTTTACTACACATTCTTGTTATATTGGCGCTCCAGCCAATCCATTTTTGTTACATTGGCGTTACCCAACGTGGTGCCTTTGCGCAGTTCAGACCGTACGTTCTTAGAATATTCCTCTTTGCAAATATTCTTTATTATTTCTAATTTGTTCCAGTTGCTCTTTGTTCATATTGTTTTTAACTCCTTTATTTATTTATTGTTTTTCTTTATTAGAGTTACATTTATAGATATACTTGTATTGCTGTAGTTTACTTATATTCATATTTAAACCCTCACCTTTTAATCTCATTGTGTGCAGTTAACTATCTATCTTACTATTATTGAACTTTAAGAATTTAATAATTTAGATATTACTATTTTTTATACATATATATATATATATTAGCCAATATTGGTGAATTTTTTATATTCAAGTATTTGTTAACCATATACTTGTTGAAACCATTGTGTGTTGCTTCAAGGATTGTGTTTATATTTACTTAACTTACTTAACCATTTTGAAATTTTTGTGAATAACTTGAAATTATTTTTGGATTGATTTTGTGGTGTGTTGGTACATATTTACTTATATATTTTTTTTGAAAACTTTATATTACTATTCGATTGTTTTTGTGGAGTGTGAGTATATTATCTCCTTGTCTATTCTACCTATTCATCTATTTGTTTTTCTTTCACAATGTCTGCATTCAAGGTAGAACATTTATTAGTTAAAGAATTAGATTATGAGTTGAGAATTAGGGACATCCCCATTGATGCGTCTTCCAATGTGGATTTAAAACGCAAGATATTGCGTGGAGCTCTAAGGCAAGAAGAAGGAAATAGGAGCTTTCGACAAATTTCTGCCACCAGTATTCCCTTTTTGGAACAACAAGAAGAGATTGATGAGACTATGGATGATTTGGCTAAAAGGATATCCGATTTTAGAGGGACTGTCCAAGATAGCCTATACTCCAGGCTGATATCACGTCTAGCCCATGTCTCAGGCCGTGTTCATTTATTATCATGTTCGAATGAGGAGCAGCAAACTTACAAACGCTCTATTTCAATCCGAATTCTTAGCCTAGAGGGTGAACTTGATTCACGAGTGAATCCAATTGCTACTTCAACCCCTATTTCTTCAGTCCAAGCAGCTAATTCATTTCTTCACCCGAAACCTGTTCAGGTACATAAATGGGGCATTACATTTTCTGGTGAAGGTCATTATGACCAGGTTATTTCCTTTTTGGATAGGGTGGAATGTCTTCGCATATCGAGAGGAGTGAGTGAGGAGGATCTTTTTGCAGCTTCTGCTGAGTTATTTACAGGCACAGCTTTTACGTGGTTTAGAAACAACCGCAATAATTTTTCTAATTGGTCTGATTTGGCTCAGAAACTCAAGTCTGATTTTCTACCTTATTCTTTTCAAGATGACCTTCTGGACCAAATCAAAAATCGTAAACAGAAGCCAGACGAGTCTGTTACGATATTTATTAATACTATTTTAGGTATGTGTAGTCGCCTTGAAACACCTCTGACAGATTCTGCAAAAATTAAGATCATCCTCAAATGTCTACTGCCATTCTATCATCAGCAATTGGCCCTTGTAGATATCACTAGTATAGCTGATATTACGGAGAAGTGTAAACGTTTAGAAGAAACTTTATCTTGGTCTTCTCACCTTCCTTCCACTTCTCGACCCTCTTCTTTTAACTCTTCACGTCACTTAGATATTTCCAAACACCGTTCTTGGCAATCCAAAGGTCAGGAACGTAATATCTCCACATTAAGTTCTGTAGTGTGCTGGAATTGTCGTGAGTCTGGCCATACTTTTTATGATTGCGGCATCCCTCGTACCCGTATTTTCTGCCACGGTTGTGGTAAAGAAAATACCCTCAAACGCAATTGTTTTAGGTGTTCGGGAAACGAACGATCGGAGGTCCGTCCCCTGAGCGTTTCTCCGTCCACACCCCCATCAGGGAATCAAACCGTTACATCAAACGAAGTCACTGGTCCAACCACGTCAAGTCACCCAAACCCATCTTCCAGTCGGAAAGGGAAAGGGGTTGTCTCCAAAAAACCAACACACACCACACCAAGTCATTCCAAGAAGTAACTTCCCAACATAATACATCTGATTTACATAGATTATCTTCCCCAAATATCTTCCCAAATTTTAGTAATAGACATAATAGTAGCAGTGTAGCAGTTCCAATATCTATACCAGAGTCTACCACAATTCAGGAGGATTCTTTTATTTCTGATTCTTCTTGTTTGCCTGTTGCATCCTCTGATTGTGTAGGTAGAGACAATAAGTTTAGTTTAGCACCATTTAAAATTTTTGACCAATCAGATAATGATTGTTTTGATTTAAATTCATTATTAGTGAAGAAACATAATGATAATAGACCTTATCTTCCTATTAAGATTTTAGGACAATCTTGTTTAGCTCTTTTAGATAGTGGCTCGAACATTTCTGTGATAGGTTCACATTCA